CGTTATTGTTGATGAGGTGTCGCTTCAATCGATCGTAGCCCAGATGACCGATAAGATCAAAATGCTTTCCCTGAGGGTCACGCCCATATGGTTACGGTACTAAAAAGAGTTCCAATACTACATAAAAAGGAATAAAAGCAATAAAACTAGAATATAGCTAGCTTTGTTTTATTCCTTCATCACAAACTCAAAGAGGCCACCTTTTATGGTGCGCTCTGTGAGTTTGTGGAAAAATAAATAAATAAAAAAATAAATAGGTAAAATATCTAGTTGAGCGATTCAAGCCTTCCCAAGTAAACAAGTAAATTAAATGTTCAACCACTCCTCTGTGAATTGCGGAAGAGTCTTCAGAGGAAATGGCATTGTTTGTAAAACGGTTGTTTATGAAAACAACCCACCGTTATCTTGTTATGGCTATTAAATTGATACACTTGACAATTATTCAGATGCTCATTTAGGCAGTAAACAAATAATCGAGCCATTTATAACTACATAAGGGCTTCTCTCTACGCTGAGAAAGCCATATTGACAAGCATTAGACCAGGATCCAAGTGATACGAGCAACAGGGGACCGATAATAAAGCACAAGCCTGAGTTAAATCTTAAAAAATGCTTTGCAACGGAGTAACCCGTTGAAGAACAGAGGAATGTGAAGTTGTTTGAATCGTTACAGTCCTTTGACACCTTCGAGTACGCCATGCACTTAATTTCTTCGGGTGCATTCTTTGCAGACAGAGACCTTCCCCATACACTGTGACAAATGAAGACGGACTGTTGATCCACAGTATCAGTTTTATCGACGACGACGTCTATTCTCGCTTCAACGCTTGTCTACCCTGCGTGTGATTTGTGACTGAGCAGTCATTTCTTCAGGAACTTTGGATGTGCACAAAAATTTTTTTCAGAGATCATGCAGCCCGATGGTTAGACCCAAAGGCAGCTCTGAGCTTCTGACTCAACGATTGCCACCTATCTCCACCCCTCTGTCGTCGGATATACAGGGAGAATCCCAATCTGTTCACAACTGGTAGAGATTCTTGGCTAGTTGTCTCGCTGCGCGTTATTTCCTGGCTAGTTGTCCCATTCAGTTGTCAACCCACAGGACAGCCTGTTCGAGCGTCTCTCAACTAGCATCAGTTTGACCTCTGCTTTACAAATATGACAGGTTTTTAAAAGCTCCTCATTGCGGGTGTTCTAAAAAACAATTCTGTGCGGCACGAAGACGGATGTAATGTCACACATCTGGCGTGAGAAGATCACATCAACCATGTTATAAAGATTTTTCTTTCTGATAAAGATGAATGCTAATCAATAAATCAATAAAGAGTACACCGTGCAGATATACAATATTTACACAACATTTAACAAATTAATATAACTGAAACAATCAATGTTCTCGGTCCGCGAAAGAGTCCGTAGATATGAAGTAGATCAAGAACAGGCAGTTTATAGTGGTGTCATCGACTGCACAGTATGTGTGTGCGTGGCGCGAACCTGGACAGTGAACGGAGAACAGAAAAGACGAAAAGAAATGAAGTCAGTTGAAAAAGGGGCGGAGCTAGCTCTGGGCAGGCGGAGCTAGGAGGGGCGGGACTGGCACAACACACACATGAGGCAGCAGTACAACAAAATTCACAGCACAACTAGACATACCATAGTAAGATACGATCGATTGAGCCGGCTTAAAAATGGCGACTGAGAAATTACTGAGAATTACGAGTGTCATTTGGGGAGCACGATCGAGGACAAGTCCGTTCAATTGGGAGACGACCGAGAATAAAGGGGAAAGAGAGCAAAAATGAGGGCTTGAAAATCCTCTTTCGCTGCTAACAGCTGTCATCGATGAAGTTGACTGGCAAAGTAGTTAGTGAAATGTCGGCCGGGTAGCACTGGAAGGAGGAAGGCTTCGGCACCTATTCGCAGCCGACGGGTATACGGGTCTGGAGCGTTCTCCTAAACAGAAAATCATCATCATAAATAAACAACTCCAGTCAGTAAGTATAAATAAGTGATGCGCCATCCATATTTAGGCAATTTCATTTACTAAGCATAATTTCAAACTGTACCCATTTATACACCTTATATCCTGTCTCTCATAGCGCCAAACTTTCATGCCCCTTTTCCATAATTAGCAATGCTTCATCGATTTTGTCGCTTGATATCGTTCGTTATCGTGCACTAACGCGCCTGATGTACTGCCGCCTTCGATGTCGTACAGTCACTACCTTTTACATTCAGCTCTTCATCTGACACAATTCTCATGCTGCTACTTTTTGTGGCTCACTGTCGCCATGTTGTTTATTTACGAAAACATGTATTGTATTCATCGGCAACAGTATATGACATCATTTCAGTTTAACTATTTAGCTATTACCATTTTATTTTATATCATATTTACCTGCTAGAGAAAAAAACCCTCTGTAATTTATAAAAAGTTCATACTATAGACTATTACCCTATTATATCAATCAAATGTCGCTTGGTGTCGTACACTGTCGCACGCAGTCCCTTCTTTTGGCATAGTCTATTTTTGCTTTGTTTCCTTGCTACTACTTCCGCATGTACTCAGTTCTTCCGTTACATGTCTGACAGAGCATGCTGAATTCTATGTCACTCTGTCGCTAGCTGACGTCAATTTTCGCCAATTGTCGCGCCATGACAATCGCTACCGCCCACTATCGCCTCATTTTTGGGCGAAGGGCCACTTCGCAAGCGTCATCCAGGTAATCATCAAACTATGAAAGGCAAACAATACCTGAAGTAAAGCTCTAATTCGATGCACAAGAAAGGCGAAATCAGGTCGGTCATCGGGCAATGATCGCCAACAGCACTGCATCAAGTCATATCTGGAAAGCTCATGGTTATTAAGATGATAAGTGAATAATTCATTGAGTAAATGAGTAAGTGAGCAAATAAACAAAATGATACTACAACCACCAGAATGGAAAACTCGGTTTCGCATTTAGCTGATTTTCGTAGCAAAAATCGAGCTTCATTCCTACGTTTCCTTCCGATTCTACTTTCTTTTGCCTTCAAAGTGCAGAACCCCTCCGTTCGTATTTATAAACTCATCTTGGAGCAGCCTATGGTCCACCCCTCGTCTCAATTCCATGAAAACCCCTCCCAACTTTCCACGGTGATATCGCCGGGCTCCTGCGTTTCTTCGCCATGACATACATCGTGCGCCATTACGGCCAATAATACCCTTACATGGATTTCTAGAAAAACTCTGAATTTGAATAGAAAAAAGTACGTACACAATATCAGGGCAATGAGTTGGTTGTGGTAATCGTAAGCCACTTTCTAGGTATTGACGAACTTTAGCATTCGACACATCACCATATGGTGAAGCGGCTCGAGTCATCAGCTCCCACATCAATACACCAAATGACCACTGAAATTAAACGATTATTCCTGAAAATCAACGCAAAAAACTAGTTGTTTTACTTCAACTCGGTTCTATTTATCGCAAATTTAACGATGTTTATTACTTCTCCTTCAATTTTCGCCAGCAGCTGCCACTGGAGCCTCGCTATCAGCACATGACCAAAAGATTGCAGTTGGATCAAAAATATTATTATTGTCAGAGATTTTTTCTTCGGGACTAAAGAGATTGAGGCAGGATTCAAAAAGAGAAGTTTCGGAGACCTTAAAATTCCTGGCTTCGAGTGGCCTAGGCGAAGCTTGTCACTCTACCCAACCTTATCAATTCCTGGGATTGCCACCAGTCCCCCACCGTATCCTCATATCATCAATAGGAACAGGTTGCATTAACAGCCATCAGGGGCTTTTGATTTAGTTCAAATCATAAACCTAGTGATAGCCCAGTGAGGACCTAAATGGCAATCTTATTAGAGGCGTTCTGCCAAACCGGTAGGTTTTTCAGTGCAAACTAGCCGCCTTCACGAAGATGGAACAAGCTCGTACAGCTCCCTAAGAAGGAGCTGTGTTTTCATAACATATCTAGTCTATTAAAAAAACCCATGAAGTCCTACTTTATATATTTACCGGTAGAGTTCTCCACACTAACAGAAGCCTCAAAATATGCACGCATTTGACAGAGATGAGAAGTTCTAACCCGATTCTTCAAGAATCTGGTTGTGGGCTGTAATGGGTTTGAGCTCATGTATAAGGTATCATCCACCATAAGAGCCCTCTGCCCCGGATGTGTCCTTCGTTATCATTTGTTGACCCCATTTCCCACATTTACACGATTTTCACTAGCGTCCGGACTGTTACGAAACCAAATTAGGTCCGACATTGGAGCATGTCCCGCCCCATATGGGCGGAGCTCCATTTCACTCTCATGTGCTCTGTTGCTCTTGCCCTATGCCCAATCCATTCAAAACTTGACTCATGAGGTTATATCGAATTCCGTTACAGACAGGCGTCGCATGTTATATATAGTGAAAATCATTTACTATCGGTTATTATCACTGGTTATCTACTCTACTATCATGCTTTGTTATTTCTCTACTGATATTTTTCACAAATATCGCTTACTTTTATTCTTTTTCTGGCAGAATATTCTCACCAGTAGAGTGGTTCCAGTACCACTAACTTATTATTGAGACTATCTTGTCAATCGTTAGAGCTTTAAAATTTTTTTGAACTGATTGATTTGACCCTAGTCATGTTAAATTTTTAAATTGCCCATTTACTTATCGATTCCCTGCATTGGCGGTTTTCGAAAGTTGATTTTATCGCCATTTCTTGCTTGAGATTTTTTTAGAAATTTTGAGAAAAATCTAACCACATCGGTCGCCACATTGAACACCCGTCGATCCCGTAAACTTTCTGGTGCGAGCCATTTGAGCGGTAAACGAGCGGGTCCTAAATGGAGACACGATGAAATCAAGTTGAATGTGTCACTTTGTCAACGATGGGGCTATGAGACACGACAGCGACTATGAGAGAGAGAGAGTGCTGTTCTGTATTTGGTTGCACAAACAAACCGGTTTCCGATTCATCGATATACGATTCTTTGTCGAGTAAATCAACGGCTAGACCAAAGTCGGCCACTTTGACCACTCGATTAGCCGATATCCTAAAAAGTGGGATAATCTAAAAACATGTTCAATTACGACTCTCAGCAGCTCTATTGCAGTTAATCAAATATTAGCTTTAGCAATGGAGCAGGTTTCAGCGGAAGAACATCGTTTTCGATGGATTCTGTACTCTCAAGGGTTTAAAAGCTAATCAGCAGATGCTCATGTTTCCAATTTCCTAATGGGGCACTTCCAAATGGGACACCCTCATAAAAAAAA